ATCAGCACTATTATCATCAGCATCATTAAGAACATCCTCATAGTCGAAGTTGCTGTCGTCACCACGACCATCATGATCTCCATCATCGTAGTGACCACCGCCAGCATCACAGTAATACTGATTGATCATGACGGTTGTCATCACTCCCCATCATCGCCGCAGACATCGCTATAGTGTCGCTGAACCTCATCGTCGCCATCCTCAAATCAACTGTCTGTTCTTCGTGCTGTTTGGTCTAGACCGTTCTCTTCATCCGTGTCGACGTCGTTGCGACCTTCGTCACTAGATAGCTGGCTTTGATTTCTTGGGGCGCGGAAGGGTGCACGACCCCCGGCATTGAGGGCCCAGCATGAGTGATGGCCGCATTCTTGTAGATCTGCAAGAAGGGAAGCGCTGGGCTTTGTAATATTGAGGTGAGGAGCAATTGAGTTTACTAAGTTTAGCCTGTACCCGAAACCTTAAAGTCACTTTGTGAAACTTGAAACTTGCAGGATTTTACTTATGGCCTGCAAAATTGGATGAGGGTTTTGCTCTTTATTGGAGAGTGTTCATCTAAGGACTCTAGGGGGTATATGATTGCTGATTTAACTAGCTATTCAGACCTCTATGCTGCTGGCTGCTGTTGCATTTTCAGTTCCACAGGGCTCTGCAGAGTGTTTCAGGCATATCTACGTTTTCATGAGGCACAAACGGTCCATGCACACTATATAACTAGTCCAAGGTTGGGATTGTATTAAACATTCAAAGTTCTGTTCCTTCTTGCGTTTAAGTACCCATAAACATGTGAAAAGCTACTCTTCTAGGACGAAGCGCTTCTGAAAGCCCCTTGCCTGGCCGCTAGGCAAAGCGCACTGCGTAGTTGGAGGTTCATGGCAAGATATAACTGGTATAAAGGGATCCATAAGGGCTCTACTTGACAAAGGGATCCAAAAGGGCTCTACTTGGAGGTTCGTTTGCGGTTCGTAGGGTTTAATTTAAGGTTTAGGGCTTGGGTCCTGGGTTTGGGTCTAGGGTTGGAGGCTGTCGGATTGGATAGTTGGAGGTCCATGGGTAGTTAGAAGTGGGTTATACGTCACAAAATGTCGGCTGTAACTACAGTTATCCTACTTATAAACCCCACTTCTAGCTACCCCTGAACCTCAAAGTAGTTGCGGCTAAACACCAAGTGGCTGGAAACGTCAGCCCAACCTCACCCTAAGGCTCCACGTACCCATGTAGCATGTACTGAGGCCAAAACCCTAAACCCTAAAACCCTAAACCCTAAACCCCAAAACCCTAAACCCTAAACCCTAAAACCCTAAACCCTAAACCCTAAAACCCTAAAACCCTAAACCCGAAACCCAAACCCTAGAGTACCTATAAAGGACCCAGGACCCTTTCAAGGTCCAACTGCATACTATAGGGTACAGGCAGCCTTGGGGCAATGGTCCAAGGGTCCAAAGTACCTATATATATATATATATATATATATATATATGGTAGAATGTAGGGCTTCTATTTTAGGAACTACTGTTATGAATTGTGGAAGTTTTCGACATAACAGTACCTCTATAGATCCCTTAAAGGAGCCCCTAAAGGGACCCCTATGGAACCCGTGGTGTCACCTTTCTCCCTCCGCTCTGCCCGAAGCAACGAAGTACCCAAGACCCAACACTCCAAAGTTTTAGGGGTTTTAGGGGTTTAGGAGATTTTTTGGGTTGTAGGGTTTACGGGTTTAGGGTTTAGGAATTGAGGGGTTTAGGGCTTAGGTCTTAGGGTTTAGGGGTATAGGGTCTAGGGAGTCCAAAACCTGACCCTGGATCAAAACAAAGAAACTCAGATACAGAATCCATCTCCCAAACTGGAAGTAAAAACAACACTCCTGAATCCTGAAACCTGCAACGCTAAACCCGATAACCCCTACAAGCCCTATAATCCCTGAGCCCTAACCGTATATAAGTACTCCCTACACCCTACTATAACTTAACCGTTAACAGAAGTAACAAACAACACAACAACAGTCCTGAACACTGAAACCTAGAACCTTAGACCCTGAACCCGATCCTAGACCCCCCAACTACCCTTTATTGTAGCTCCAAATTACCTTTTAATGAGAAATAACAGAGCCCTTTAGAGGGCACTTGGGGGGGTGCAGGATACCCCAAAGCAAAAACAAACAGAGGCGAAGCCCAGTAGCCTGCAGCATGGCTGCAAAGGACGGGACAAAGGAGCCTGAACCCCCGAAAAACCCAGCCCCGCCCTAGGGATCAACATGGGGTTTAGGGTTTATTGGGTTTGTAGGGTTTAGGTCTTATAGGGTTGATGGTTTAGGGTTTATAGGGCGTATAGGGCTTATAGGGTTTAGGGGATCAAAATAGCCCAAACGCCTGATATGGTATGGTCTTGGGGCCCAAAAGCGTTGTGATTCCATAGAGCCCTTGGGTTCTAGGAAACCCAAGATCTATTATTTGGGACTTGAGGCTTGGAGCTTTAAACTTTAGGACTTTAGGATTTCCTGTTGGGGAGCTTTGGGGTGTTGGGGGTTAGGTTTCAATCTTATCATGGCTAAGCAGGGTTTCTACGGTTTTATCGGGTTTCTATAATTACGGTCTTATATAAGGCCAACGAAGTCAGCACTTTGGGGTTTATTAAGACGCCTCATCAGGGTTCCAGAAGGGACCTACAGTATACGACGCGGGAATTGGGCAGTCGTATGCTATACGGGACACTGCGCGAGCGCACTTCAGCTTCAGAGCAGGGATTCGAGGGATTTTGAGGTTGCCAGTATTAGGGTTTTTAAGTCGTGCGGAAGGATTAGAGCGTACAGGGTCAGCTTTGACGTGCTGTGGCGCTGCTGTTCAATTGGTAGTTGAAGCCTTCGTTCACAGCTTGCTAGGAGCGTGAAGACTCTGTGCGGCAGTCTCTACAAACCCTAAACCCCCCCAGGAACGGAGGGATTCGGCTCCTGGGGTTCAGGATACAAAAATGGCCTTGGGGTCTCGAATAGCCCAGAGAGATCCAAAGAGCCCAATACCCCTTAATTAAGGAATATAGCTTATAAATTAGATCATAATATGAAGCCCTGCATAATTTAAGCCATATTCCTTAATTAAGGGGTATTGGGCTCTCTGGGGAGTGGGGCCTGCCTGCTATATCGGTCCTCGGACCCGTTTGGGTAACAGATAACCAGGGCACCCTTTCTCCTAGTATTCGGTTTTAAAAAGGGAACGCAAAAAGAAAAGAGCAACAGAAAGCGTATTACCCAGGAGTCCCTATATTAGTTGAATCCCTGAACCCTAAACCCTAAGGGTCCAAGTACGCTATTATCATATACTCTCCCAAATCCTAACCTACATAACTACTATTCCAAAACCGAATACTTAGTTATTGGCTAGTAATTGGATCCTCCAAACCCTAAATCCTAAACCCTAAACCCTAAATCCTAAACCCTAAACCCTAGTAATTGAATCCTCCGCCCGGTTGCTCTTTGCCGGCTTCCACTGGGACGCAGGCGCATTTGCGTCTCGACCAGCCCTATGGACCCTTAGCCTTGAAGCCCCGCAATTGCTAGGAATCCCAGCATCGGGTTGAGGATTTAGGGTCTTGGGTTTGGGGTTTGGACTTAGGGTCTATGGTTTAGGGTTTCGGACTTAAAATCTAGGGTTTAGGATTTAGGGTCTAGGGTTCAGGGTTAAGGCTAGCGGCTAGCCACCCTAAACCCAAAACCCTGAACCCAACGAACTGTTGTCTTGAAGTGTACTTGTTCTGAAGGCCCCCTGACCATTGGATCTGGCTTGGGATTTAGGGTTTAGTGTTCGGGGTTTAGGGTGTCAAGCGATGCCACACAATTTGACACTGTTTACAGGTGCTTACAGAGTTTCATGTCATGACTGAAGTTTGTCGGCTACAGTACAGAAAATCTCGTCATGATTGACGTTTGTCGGCTACCGAACATCTCTACGACCAGGTGCGTGGGTGCTGTGTCGTCCTATTTCGGCCCGACAAACGGCTCCGGGCGCAGCAACAACGAAGCGCGCCTCGACCCTTCGAACTTCGAATCGCAACTTTGAAGCTTTATGACCCTATCCTAGAGGCTCCATATACAGTACCATTATGGAATTAGGTCCCAAAAGCCATGATATGGATGGTCTTTTGGGACCTAATTCCATAATGGTACTATATATGGAGCCTCTGAATGCCCGATTTTCAACTCCCTAAACCAAAAACTCTAACCCAATCGCAAGAGCCTGTGGCAGATGGTAGATAGTGTGGCTCGGGGTCAAGGGCTCAGGCTTCCCGATCTGAATTTAGAGACGCCGAATGACATTGAACATTGGGGTGGGAATTTGCACGTTACAAGCCTTACATTACTCTATCCGAAGCCATTCCTGACCGTTCTCTCTCGTTGCTCGTCGGCGAGGTCTTTGTCACAGACTTTCTTCTTTTCAGACACCGAGCAAAGCTTGCGTGTGTGAGGTACAACAACGGAGTCACTGAAGTCCTACCCCACCCTGGGTCCTGAACCCTAAAACACCCCTAGGAACTAGCCCCAGCAGCAACACGGCCCAACCAAAAGACCCATAAATCCCAATATCCAGTAACTGCCTAAGCCCCCCAACGCCACCAAATCGTGTAAGACCCGATTACATCCCTGTCCTAAGACAAGTTTCGACTTCAACAGCCCCCCTCCACATCTCCCCTAAACCCTAAACCCTGAACCCTAAACCGTGTCTGGATAGTGCTCTTTGGGAAAACCGAGCCTTACTCTGCCACACATTCACGCAGAAATAGCGGAGCAAGGTTGCCCCTTAGTGCTCTTTGGGAAAACCGAGCCTTACTCTGCCACACATTCACGCAGAAATAGCGGAGCAAGGTTGCCCCTTCAAGGCCTCTGAAAAATGTTCGTAAACAAGATTCTCTGAAGTTCAATAATAAGGTGAAGTATAGTTTAAATCACCCAAAAACCTAACTAGGGTCACATCCATATGGAACTCCCGACATCGCAAAGCACAAAAGAAGGCCTCGCAAAAGCGACGTGCAGCGTCGCCCCCCTTGCTTCGTGCTGCCTGGCACGACACCGCTCAAGCACTGAGGAGTTGCAGGCTGATGGGTAGTCGAGGTTCAACAGGCTGCTTCCGCAGCCTCAAAGCAAGAAGCGATCTGTGTAGATGCCAGCTCAAATCAAGTTGAGGTTTGTAGCGTGGAACCTCACTAGATCTTGAGCCTTAAACCGTCAGTTCAGGTACCGGGGCGTGGCGCACAGGGGGGTGTAGAATGTAGATCGCTTCCTTGGAGGTTTCCGGATCCCGTCCCCAAGTGGTAGCAGGCATCGGTTTGGGTATTAGGGTATTAGGTATTAGGGCTTAGGGATAAAATGACTGTCCTCGCCCTGGACACAAAATCCTCAAACCTTCCCAAAGGGCCCAAATACCAATACAGTAACTACTTAATAGGTTTTGGACCCCAATAGTATATGCGATGCTATTACCTGGACTCTTTTCGGCTTAACTCAAAACCCGAAACCTCGAGCCCGAATCTTAAACCTCTTTAAACCCAACAGCTCAGCCTCAAGCCGATAGAACCTACATACTGCTGATGGACAAAATCCTGCGTTACCCATTATAAAGAATATACCATAGTTCCCATAGTTTAGAGTCCTTGGGGTCATGCAGGATTTTGTCCATCAGCAGTAGGACCTATGTAGATCCCTCTGATGCACTGTACAACCTTGATCCTAATCCATTTACAGAAGCCCAAAAGTTGGAAACCCAATAGCCTGAATCCTTAAGTGTAATGTATAGGGAATCCCAGCACTATTTGGCCTTAATCCTGCTTCCAACGTTATGGGTTTTACTGTTAACCCCAAACCCGAAACCCTACGAAGTTTCATCCCTTAGCCTGAAACCTTGAACCTTGGGTACTGCTCCCATACAGTAACTGTCTATAACAGGGCTGTATACTCAGGTCCTAACATATCTATATGAGAAACAATATTCAACTGTTACTGAATGGAGGCCGTACCCAACCTAAACCCTTAAACCTAAACCCTGAACCCTCAGCCGCAATCCCTAATTGCCTCGAATCCCTTGCTGGCAGCCCACAAGGCCACGTGATCGGAGCCTTCGGTTAGGGTTTAGGGTTTGGGGTTTCGCGTTTGGGGTTTCAGGACTGAAAAATGTTGGATATTTGGTTCAGGGGCTTTAACGTTTCAGGATTGCTGAGTGAGCTTTTCTTCGGATTTGGGGTAAACCCTAAGGACTAGATCTTAGACCCACTTGGGTCTCGTTCAGCGGTTTAGGTAATACAGGGGGCCCATTACTTAGAGGAGCAGGGGACTTTGTGAGTAGGGTTATAAGTAGGATTATCATTGGGGTAAGTCCATTTACATAGGGTACTTGTAACTCTACTTATAACCAGACTTACTAAATCCCCTGCCTCTCCAAGTATACTATAATTGTATTCAGGAGCCCCCCAACATAGCATAGGTATTTTTTCAGGCCCCTCTAGTATAGTATCCTCATAGATCCCTTGTAGTAGCCCTTATAGACCCCTTTAATTAACGGAACCCTAGGAACCCTATAGGTAATTATTAAGGCACCTACAGTATGTCGAAGCAAGCCCCCTGGCCGCCTTGGGCTTTATTTAGTTTTTCATGGGTTGCTGCTTTTAGTGCTCCTTCGAACTCCAGGGAATTTGACAGCTGCACTGCTAGATCATGTACTGGTACGGCAAGCTTATAAAAGGGATCCTAATTTAGAGAACTGCCAATGGGAATTTGACAGCTGCACTACTAAATCATGTACCCCTAACTTTTCGAAATCCTTATATGGGCAGTTTTCTAAACTAGGGTGTATAGGTGCCAAGAATAGTATGGCACCCTTAAGAAAAAGGGACCCTAAAATGGAACCGTAATTTAGAGAACTACCCCCATGAGGGGCCTGAGCCTGGGGTAGTCTTGGCGTGGACGTTTGTTCTCGCGTGCGGGTCGCGGGCGGCGGTTATGCCTTCTAATCATATATTATAGGGGCCTCAAGCAGTGGAACAGGGTTTGGTTTGGGGTATATTAGAAGTAGTCTACGTATAATTACTACATAAGGACCCCGAGGAAGACAGTTGTAACTCATGAGGCCCCTATATATTCAGCGACTGCCAGGCATCGACGAATCCCTGCAAGTCCATTGGCTTCAAGCATTTTGCTTCGTGGAGAAACAACAGCGTGCATAGTCAATCGGGCTTACATTAGACTGGGACGAAAAACCAGTTCCTATAGCGAGCCCCGTAAAACCTGTGCCCTACACCTTGATACCTTGGACAGTCAGACACAGGTCATTCCGGTGGCATGCCGGGTAAGAGCAGAGTTTCTGCAGGAAAACATCTCAGGCTACTATAGGCGCCTTACTATGTATTGCAGAATGAGGATAATTATGGGGTGTCTTGTAGTTTACTGGTCATCAGGAACCGTAAGGAATAGTATTGGTAGGCCGCCCATAGTTCACCTTCTCGGAGGCCTCAAAAGGTGGGATGAAGGTAGGTGGGATATTCCCAAATACGAGTCCTTTTATAAGGGATCCTTCATCCTACCTACCTTCATCCCTCCTTTGGAGGCCTCCGACCTTCGCGAAGTGAAACGTTTCCGGCGTCAACCGAGTACAGCCTTGCAGGCCGTTCCTCGGATATGCCAGAAGCTGTCTGGTAGTGTCTCCAAGGGTCCCAGGGACCTTTAAGGTAAAAGCCAGAAAGTTGGAATATGATTATCCTAACCCTTCCATGGTAAATTATAGGGTATCCTACCATGAAACCATATTCCAACTTTCTGGAGCTACCTGTAAGGGAGTTTAGGGTTCTTTTAAAGGGGGTTTTAGAGGTCCTAGAAAGGTCCAAGGGACCCAATAGTTTAGGGTTTATGGTTTTGGGTTTAGGGGTTTAGGGTGTAGGGTACTCAGTTTTGATTTAGGAAAGTAGTTATATAGGTTAGGATCTTGGAGAGTATATGATTAATGGGTACTTGGACCCTTGGGGCGTCTCTTCTGAAAGGTTCCGTGTCACGGCCCTGCATGAAATCTTAGACTCGCTCTACATAGTTCAGAGGCTAGAAAGGTTGCTTGTTAAGTTCAGGATAGTTTAGTATTCCCGGAGTTGATGAGAAGTTCTCGAAAATAGAGGCCCTTTCAGGGTCCTTTGTATAAGGGTTTTCTTCTTTGGGATTGCTGAAACCCTAGCGATTAAAGGACTCACATACTAAGGCTTTTGGGCTCAAAGACCATACTATATAAGGCTTTTGGGCTATTTTGATCCCCAAGGAAAAGGACCGAAACTCAACAAGTACCCTCTCGATTTACATTGCTCCTTTCGCCGAACGTGTCCCATTTCCTCACGGGTACGCATACACGGGTCCCAAATGGAGAACACCACCACTGCTTCTTAGCAGCAGCACCCAGACAATTGAAGTAAGGACCACCAATACACTCTCCCGCTGAGAGGCAGGTGGAAAGCCACAGTTTCTGAGCTAGGGCTTCTTTAGGACAGTTATATATGTGCATAACTAATTAACATATACAAACAAATAAAGAAACATATGATATGATATATATATATATATATATATGTATGAATAGACATACATAATTTAGGGTGTAGGGTTATAGGTCAAAGGTTCAGGACAGAATATACGCGATATAATGAGGGTCGGGGTTTCGTTTAAAGCATAAGCACCGCTCGAAATCAAAATGCCGGAAGGCTTAACTGTGTTTCGGCAGAGCTGCAGATCTTCAAACCATAAAAAAAACAGACAATAGCTGCGAGATCCAGAGATGCAAGAGAACTTAAGTGGAAGTTTCCGAAAATTCGGGGTACCTTATTTTGGTGCCCTGATACTAAGGGTCCTGCTAGGCAGGGTAGTATATCAAGGTCCCCTCCCCCATTTTCGGAAACTTCCGAGTAGTTGAGAAAGCCTTAATAACTAGAATAGGGTCTCGGGGCCCATTATACTAAAAATGTAATAAGGAACCGCCCCCAAACAGTATTGAATGGTAATGCTTTAAGCCCGTATATGCCCGCATATTACGTAGCAAGGTAGCATTCCGAGCCATCCGGACAAAGGCCTAGAACAGGTAACCTCAAGATACCATACCTTAAGCGGGAATAACCTACCTTTTTAAGGTTCCTTATTATGATTTCCTTATGTAAGTCCTTAAAAAGGTAGGTTATTCCGGCTTAGGGTAGGCTTGACGCGGAATGTTCCCGTCAAAGGGGCCGGAAGAACAAGGTTCAAAGCTGCAGTTGAGGGCTTATCAGACAGGGGTAGTAACTTAGTATGCTATCAAGAAAGAAGAATCCTAGCTGCAGCGAGTCCTGCAAATTCACACCTTCAGTGATTAGTGCTCTCAGCACGGGGATCTTGAGAAACGTAGGCATCAAACTATGTAAGGTTGAGTCGATAGTCTACAGTTGAGTCCTGGAGAAACTTCAGAGACTTCAGTAGGGAATGTAGCTCTAGTTTCAAGACTGTTGGGGACACTTGTTACATCAAATTACACCCCAGCCTAATATGCAATCTCTTGAGGAGTTCCAGCAGTCAAGATAGAACAACTTGCAAGCGAAGCTCTGCACCCGAATTTCGACCTGTCGGATAAAACATTAGGTGCGCTGAGCTTCAGACTTGAGCTCATGTTGGAGGCCTTAATTGGTTCAGTAGGTTTGTGGGGGTCATTTGCCATGGCACCAAGATATAGTGTTCATGTAAGGCAGTGGGATACAATTCCTAAATGTTCGAACCCCTGCATCATACTGTTTCTGCGAGTCCTGCCCCAGGAGCTGAGGAGTACTGGCGTCCAAGGGCTGAAAGAAAGGGCAGCGGGTCTGTGTTGGTCCTCTGATTGCCTTAACAACTCCTGCGAAAAAGCTCTTTCACGCGATCTTCGTGTCTTCAACGAGCCTAAAAAAATCTGATTCAAGGAGCAAGCGCTTTTTGAGGCTTCGGCATTGATCTGATGGCCGTAAATATTTGAGTATGCCAGCAGTAGTAGTCGTAAACGTAATCGTAGCAGTAGTAGTAGTAGTAGTAGTAGTAGTAGTAGTAGTAGTAGTAGTAGTGGTGGTAGTAGTAGTAATAATAATAGTAGTAGTAGTCAGTCGCAGTAGTAGCATCAGTAGCAGTAGCAGTAGTAGCAATAGTAGTAGCGGTGGCAGTAGCATCAAAAGTAGCAGTAGTAGTAGTAGCAGTAGCAGCAGTGGTAATAGTACTACTACTACTTACTACTACCACTACTTCTACTACTACTACTACTCCTACTACTACCTACTACTACCTACTACTACCTACTACTACTACTACTACTACTACTACTACTACTACTACTACTACTACTGCTACTACTGCTACTACTACTACTACTACTACTACTACTACTACTACTACTACTACTGCTACTTGTACTTGTACATGTACGTATTGCGTAGTGCTTATACTGTAGTACGTTATACCCGGTAAGTAGTAAGCAGTACATAGTAGTAGTGGGTAGCAGCAGTAACAGTAGCAGCAGTTGTTGTAGCAACAGCAATACCAGCAGCGGTAGTCGTTGTAGTAGTTGTAGGTAGTAGTAGTAGTAGTAGTAGTAGTAGTAGTAGTAGTAGTAGTAGTAGTAGTAGTAGTAGTAGTAGTAGTAGTAGTAGTAGTAGTAGTAGTAGTAGTACAGTAGTAGTAGTAGTAGTAGTAGTAGTAGTAGTAGTAGCAGCAGTAGTAGTAGTAGTAGTAGTAGTAGTGGTAGTGGTAGTAGTAGTAGTAGTCGTCGCCGTCGTCGGAACAGTATAGTAGCAGGAGTAAAAGGAATGGTAGCAGCAACAGTAGCCGGAAGGCCCGATACCCCTGAAAGAAGGAATATACCTTAACACCTTAACCCAAACCATGACAAGGGGTAATGGAGTGTTCTATATGGATTGAAACAAAAACCTTTATTGCTGTATTGGCTCACTGGATAGCAAGAGGCCGTAGAAGTGCGAGAAGTATGTAGAATTAGCAGCAACCGTCATTAGTGCCAGTCGTGGTCGTCGCCGTCGTAGCAGTCGTAGTTGCAGTAGAAGTGATCTTAGTGACGCCGGACAAAAACATATTAACAGCTGCT